TGTAGAATGAACACTGTAATTTCTATTTCCTAATGAAGTAATTTCTACTTCATTCAATCATACAATTACGTAACAGATATGAATGAAACCTATTTACTCGTTAGGTAGTATATTAAATACATTTCAACCTTTTCAGAGGCGGCGCATCTATCGTACGACGTCCCTGGCACACCGCGTCACGTGGGCAGTCGAGCGCGGGAGTAGGGGAACGGTAGGCGTCGACTCCGAAATCGGCCCGAAAAGTGCAACTAAATCCGAGCACTGATGTAGAATACATGCAATTAAAGGAATAACATCTGTTCATTAAGAATTGCTTCACGATTGTAAAATATATATTGTTAGGTTGGGTTACTCTGAAAATATCACTTTTTCTCACTTTTTTAATAACTTTTTAATTTTTTTCAATTTTGATAAGAAATATCGTATCGTCGAATAAAACTTTTATTATTCGACAGTTTTAAGTATTAAAAAATCGCTGCTGGATTAATACAACCTTCTGATGTAAATATGGTTATAGAATATGGAAAAATTTCGCGAATGAAATATCAAATTTTGTGTCTACGATAGATTTACAAATTAACGTACAGGCATGGGACATAATTATTAAAATGTGTCCTTTAATTCATAATCAATTGTCCGCACCTAGATATAAAAAACTGTTTAAGTACGCACGGTTACGGTATGGTTGCATCAGTAGCAGACTGGAACATTTTGATAATCCCGTTGACTTTAGTTTCAATCAAATTAAAATTATGTCACTTTTACAAAATATACGCTGACAAATACTGATATCCGTTTCGATTTCATTATGCATAACATCATTACATCTTTTACGTTTACTACCGTTTATAATACATTAGAAAATCATTTCAAAATAAAAGACATAATTTTGAAAATTATAAAAAAACTATAATTTCAGTGTTACTATATATTTTACAATCATGAGGCAATTCTTGATCGACAGATGCAATTCCTTTAATTAAGATCTTCCGTGCGTCGAATACTGTCACCAGTACGCACCCATAACGCGAATCAAATAGGATATCTGATTCGAACAGCATATTTTTATAGAGGCACCTTTGGACCTTCAAATTCTTTTTTTAAATAAGTTAGTGTAAAAAATGTAATATAATACAATTTCCAGAATATTACGTATAGAAATCAGTCGTGCACCGAACGGAAGGTATAAAGAATAAAATTTACGTATAACTTCAACGACAATAATATTTTTTCCATAAGCGAAATTAAAAATTCCAATTTTTCCGTATTTTGTCTTTTGACCTATAGTTTACATATGTGAAATTTGATTAAAATAGTACAAAGTTTTATTAAAAAAATTTGCAAAATGTTAATTTTTTACATATTTTTTAAACAAATAAATCTTTCAAAAATCCACTTACGCCATATTATTGGCCTTCTAAAACAGAAAAATTTGCACTTTTAATTTTTTGTCTAGGCCTAATAGTTCCTGAGATATTCGAGAAAATATGTTTTGCAACCCCAACTTTAGGGGCCATTTTCTCCCCTTCAGCATGGATGATGGCCGATAAAAAAAAATACGTGTCAAATATTTTTTTACGTTCTATATCATACTCAAAGTGCATAAAAATCGGCGATTGTCGATTGGGTAATATCCCTTGTTAGTTGATAGTTTCCAGGCTCGTAATGTCGACGAGTTTGTTTTTCCCGAAAATACAAAGTGGGGATACATTCCCAATAAAACTTTCGGGAAAGCCTGAAGACAGCGCATTATGTTAGAGACGTGTTTGAGAGAACGCGAAGAGAGAAATCCGACGATAATATTATTTGTTAAAACAAGTTCTGTGTATATTGTAGCCATCCTTACATTACAGAGAATATATGTTTTGTCTATTCGTATCCAAGTTGTTGTAATTAAAAGCCACAAAATCTATTAAATAGTAAAAACTATTCACCTAAGGAGATGTAAAGACTCTAAGATAATATATTGCCAATAAAACATTCACCAAGCAGAAATAAAGACAAACATTGTCTGAAAGAAAATGCAAAGTTATTTCAATATTATTTTATTTTAATAATTTGTTAGTCATTTTGATTTGATGAATATGAAATTACAAAATTATATATTTTTAAAAGTGTTTGTGAATTGCAATTGCTGTATGATATAGTGAAATAAATAAGTATTAAAGATACAAATTTCCACAATGAATTATGTGAATATGGTTTCACTATCTAAAAGTATTTAATATACATTTATTTTTTTAATGTTAAAGAAAAAAACAGAACTAGAAAAACTATTTTACTTTTAATTTTATGGTACCAAATGTATTAAATGCATATTCAAAAGAATTTATAGTAATAGTGAAAATATCAGTGGTTTATTTTCAATCAATGAAAGTAATGATCACAATACAACATTGATTGACATTATTGAAAAATTAAAGTAATTATAATTCATAAAACTTTAAATAAATATTCTTGATAGAATTTGCTATTGCTAGTTAATAAAAATAAATACATTATTTTAAAACATAGCAATTTTCGTTATTTACATTAAAATAAATCATATCAACCTACTTTTTAGAGCACATCAATTGATTTAATACAAGATACGTTTTTAAAACCTACAAAAAGTGAATGTTCAAAACTGTTGCTCAGTAGTCTTTACTTTGGTATAATAGATTTATAAATATTAATAAAAATGTCTTTTAAATTACTCTTTTTTTAGGCACTAATATATTGGAAATGATATTCATACAGAAAATAATTTTTCAAAAAGTGTGAAAAATATATTAATATAGTTCTTAAAAAAATGTTTATCCTAAATGAAATTTAAGTACTTATAAAAAAGAAATGAACAATCGCATATAAATTCAGAAGCGTACCACTTGTTAAGAGAGCATACACATATGTTCCATATTTGCACTACTAACATTTTAAAATTAGGATTCTCTGATCGATATTTAAATAAAACATTTGAAGATTTTCATGGTTCTTTAACATTATAAAAAAGAATATGAATTTTAAAAGCAATAAAAGAATTACTCATGAAAAAATTACCAAAGGAACACCAATTGTTAAATACCAAAAGAAGTAGTAAAGTGTTTTGTATGTACAAAGATTTACATCCCCTTATACTATATTAATAAAAATACTAATATAATATTAATGTTAAGTATTAACAAACGAAATTATAAAAATATTTTGAAATTTGTGTTTTAACATATGGGAATAAAACATTTTTATATTGATAATGATATGTATTCAGTTATTTTTGAATTAAGTTTAATCTTTTGAATTTTAACGAATAATTAAATACGCTTCATAATTAAAAAACAGCAATTAAAACTATTTTCAAGAATTATTACTTCTAATAATTTTTCTAACTAATTAATTAATTAAAATGTCAAGCGGTTTACCAATTACAAAGAGGTACGATATTGTATATTGCTTTCTTTTTAGTAATATAAACTTTATAGATCATACGCACACTAAGAAAAAATAAAGAAACAGTGATAATGATAAATATTTAGAATATCAAAAACATGGTACCCAATTTTGTTAATATTACACACTATGTCACTACGAACAAACTACGTCTAAAAAGTAGAATGTATTTATAAGGAACATGCATTACACTTTAGTGTCACGATTGTACAAGTGCATTCGCATTGCCATAGATTACCAAGTACATAGAAAGTATTAGTATACCGTGGTATTAGTTTGACAGATTTGTAACCCTCCCCACCAACTGATATATGACAGCCATTAGCTATATTAGTCAGGATATACCGGTTCTCGTCCGATGACTTTTTGTACTGCAAAAGATGGCATGGAAAAACATCAGCTCTTTCTGCCCAATAGAAAATTCAAAATCATTGAACCAAAAGTATGAATATACGCAGAGAGAACATACTTATGTCATCTAGTTACTGTATTCTGTTGTACAATAGATTGTATCTTATGAAAATTTGTTTCATGCGAATTAGACATAATGCGCATTAACACTGAAGCAGTTGGAGTATTAAAGTGATTGGTGGTGACCTCTTCATTTTCGTCGCCATTTTCCTTACAGAACACAAATTATTTTCGTATTCTTAATATCTTAGATGCACTTAATATTTAAAAAATATTGTTTGTTTCAGTTTATGTATCTTATATCAAAATAAGATTTTTAATTTTAAGTTTTACAACTGTCATATGTCTATTTCTTATGTGTGATTGTTTGTATTTCCCGCGGTAGTGTATTGAAATGTACGACTTAGTATGCTATCTAAAAAGTTATGAAAACTTCGTGATCTGTACAAATTGCATGGAGATCAGTTCAGACCAGCGGTAGAACAGTATGATCCGTCGCCATTTTGTTTATTTTCGCGTAAAAGAGATTTAAGGAAGCATCTGAGCAGATCTTTTTGCCTTTGTCCGTGAAAAGATCAGCTGAATGTATTGATAGTTACGTTAGAAGGTTGGAAGAATAAAATTCACAAAAAAAATTATTTGTATAGTGCGTTATTGACAGTTTGAAGAAAAGACTAAGATCTAAATTCCAAAAATACGAAATTTGTAAGAAATACGCAACACTCACAACTATAAACGTGCCGGTACCGCGGTACGGAAAACGTTTCTCGGATCGGTTAGGAAAAAGTGAAGAAATAAAAAGTGGAAAGTGTAAGCGAGATAGGTGCTATAAGAGTGAGAAAAGAAAGTCGTGACGACAAGAAGAGAAACGTAAGAATTACGAAGATATCATCCAAGGGTGGAATATATACTGTGGGCGTCCCCCGAAAAAGCGGGGTCATTGCAAGCAAATATTAGTCGTCATCGTGTGGTGAAACGACATCCTTATTAAGTCGTTCTAGTGATTATAATTCAACCATAATTAGAATCGAACAATTCCTGCAATCGAATTTTCTTGAACAATAATCGTTTGTCTTTAGTGAAAATAACCAGTATATTGAACAACAGCATTCGATTTTCATTAAAAATTCGTTTGTGATTGCACCAATTAAATTAATTTCAGAAGTAACCTCGACGGCGAAAGCCGCCTACGAGGTTCCCGGCACAATCAAAACGACCATCAATATCGGTATTGCAATGAACCACGTTAACGATCAGGAGAACCTTAAACAGCTCAACCTGGCACCAGTTCAGGTTAATGAAGTTGAAGAAATGGATACACAAGAAGGAGGTATAGTTAATTTTTACTTTGTTTGTTTAGTCGAATTTTAAATTGACTTAAACGCGTTTACATTCTCATTTTGAAATTTATGAAAATATATTTAACTTTGTGTATTATTACAGGTGTTTTATTATAAATTTTGTGCACGTATATACCTTTTAAAAGTGCATGCAGTTATATATATGCAAGTTTTTATTTGTAATAAAACAAAGTGCTTGTGTGTGTTGTATATATATATTAGTAAAAATATTTAATATTTGGAAAAGTTCAGTCAATTAATCAATACATATACAGAAATTTGAATATATCTAATTATGTCTTTCATTTGATAGAAATACTCATTTGTTTTTGATGTCATAATAAGGAATTAGAATATGACATAGTATTTTTCATTATTTGCATAAATTATTATATGAGTATTTTTGTACATCATTTACTACAAGATTATTATTAAGCAATAAGTAAATTGTATAATTCTTTGTTATAGATAAAAAAATATTTTTAAGGTAGATGTATATTTGACTTGAAGTAATAATTATGTGCAAGTAATGTCATCTTTCCTTTTCAAGTCACTATTAAATTTTTTAATAAAACTAGCGCATCTTTTTAAAAAAGTTATTATTACGCTTAAATGATATTGTTGCACACATTTTAACAAAGTTAAATCTTTTAGAAACACCAAATGATGGTGGAGGTGATGGTAATGATACCAGTCCTATGAATGGAGAATCAGAAGTAGCTTGTATAGTTCAAGATCAGGAAATGGAAGAAGGTAAAAAGAACATTTTTGTTTTGTTTTTATGATAATTATATAAAATATACTTTTTTTACTATTGATACTTTTCCTTTTGTAAAATATATATAATATAAAATGAAATATTTTAATTTCAATATAAAAAGTTTGTATTGTGTTAAAAAATTAATATATATGGATTCTTGAGCCAAAGCATGTTAAGTATATGTTTTATAAAAAATCACATTTTAAATGTTTTCTACATCAAGCTTTTTTACTTTTTATGATAACGAAAACTATTTTGTTCTCAGCTATTTAGTCCTCAGGTTAGGATAATGTCAAACTTAATACTTGTTTCAAAATATATGTTAGAATCATATAACACAATATCTAGAATCATGATATTAATTTTTTAATCAGACATTATGCGTTAACTCCTTATCACATCTATCTATTCATTTCATTTATTGTCTATTACAAGCATGCAAGAGTTTTCTTTCTATCTAACATTACTCACTTAAGAAGTTAAGCAAAAAAAAAAAAAAAAATACAAAATTAGAACTAAACAGTACTAAATCAATTTATATCCAATATTGGCTCACTAAGATATTAAACTCATTGTTCAAAGCCAGATAGTACCAATTTCATATTATCATAGCAGTATATTATTACATATTAAAACAATAAAATGATATATTTTGAATTTATATATATATATATATATATATATATATTTCTTTGTTTTTTCATTCTTAATTTGCTATTTTTTAAAATATAAAAAGAGTGATTTAGTACACTTCAGCGTACTAACTTCTGGGTTCCAGATATGTTATCATAACTAATGCTTTTAAAATATATGTTAAAATGTTATTTAGCATAAATGATATAAATTTCTTTACAATAACTTGATCCTTAAATTATTGATGATTGTATATTAGAAGGTAAGTACTTGTAGTAAGTGATATAATTTACCATTTAATCGAACTTTATGTTACTCCTATTATGATATTGAAACTTATAATTTACCATTACTTGGGACATGAAATAAAATAATATCTTAATAATATGAAATAAAATTTAAATGATATGCATAAAGAAAATATATCTATTATAGATAGTCACAATTTTTATATGTATGTTTAATGTACATACTTATGTCTAAACAAGTAAATAAAATTTTCTTAAGTAGATATTTAGCTATATTATATCATTTAAAAAACTTACCTATAATATAAATTTTGATGTAATAGACAATGATATTTTAGTACTAATTTCTCTTTGTAGATGAAGCAAGGTCAGAAGCCACATTTCGCTACACGGTGGAAAACCTTTCAAAGATGAAGGAAACACAACTGTCTCCTCCATGTTATATACGTAATCTGCCATGGAAAATAATGGTAATGCCAAGGACGAGTCAAACTCAAGATAGAACTCCTCAAAAGTCACTTGGATTTTTTCTGCAATGTAATGGAGAAAGTGAATCAACATGGAGTTGTTATGCAGTTGCAGATCTTCGACTACTTTCTTGCAAAGAAGGCCAGGAACCATTTAACAGAAGTTAGTACATTAATGTTTATTTCCAATAAAATCTTGCTTTTCATTTATATTTAAATGAATTTAATTACATAAATTGTTATTTTAGGGATTCAACATCTGTTTTACAGTAAAGAAAATGATTGGGGATTTAGTCATTTTATGACATGGCAGGATGTTTTGGATCCTGATAAAGGTTTTATCAAAGATGATTCTATTACACTTGAGGTTAGTGTAATGTAATTGTTTATATATTCAAAACGTTAATATAACAATAATATTTCCTAGACAAATTTTATGTAAGAATTTAAACATCATTTATCGCTTAATTTTGTATTTCTTTAATAAATCGAATTTTGTTAAATATAAAAATTAATTCATTATTTTTTACATATATATATAGTGAATATCTAGATAGAAGTAAATATTGTATTTATATTTTGAAATAATAGGTTCATGTAATGGCTGATGCTCCGCACGGTGTTAGCTGGGACAGCAAAAAGCATACAGGATTTGTTGGATTAAAAAATCAAGGTGCTACATGTTACATGAATTCCTTACTTCAAACTTTGTATTTTACTAATCAGGTAAATTTTAATATCATATATTTATATTATATGTTAAACAATTTCAGTAATTTTTAATAATGTTAACCCTTTTAATTCACATTATGTTTTTTACCATTCTGTCTACACACAGATTAGTGTAAATTAGCATCTTCTTTTATTGATAATTTGAAGTGCATTAGTATTAATGTTTTGTTCATAGATAGCTTAGAATATGAATACAATAGACAATCATAGACATTTTTATATAATAGGTAATCAAGTATATTTCGTTGGTGAACAAATATTCTTTGGTTTTTCAGTTGTTTGAAAAAAAGGGTAATATACAATTTTTAGTTTTGAGAAAAATAAATAATTTAAAATGCTTTTTCAATCGTTATAAAAGGTTTTAAATAGTTAGATTATTATTTATGTTGTTAAAAATTGAGGTTTATTCAGGATCAAAAAATATCAAACCTACATGTTAAATGAAAAATGGAATGTAAGGTAAATATATATTTTACATGTCAATTAATTACATACAATCAGTTTTACCCATGTTTCAATCATTTTGCATTCATTAATCTTTCTATGTATCACATCCTGGGTTATACTAGCCTAAAGATTACTTTTCATATTTTGTAATTTGGTTCCTGTCAGCATAAAGTAATATAACAAGGGATTTGTAGAGGGGGCAAATAATTTTTCTTTCTCCAAAATTCTCCTTCTGAATGCTAAATTTATTTTGAATGATTTGGATTATGCTAAACTCACTGTGACTTGAGAGGGTTACTGATGACACAGTTAACTATAATAATAACGATGTATACATAAAACGTTATATTAAGTGAATTTAAGTCTATTTTACTGTATTTTTGGATTTTAAAGTTAGTTAAGGTGATTTTCAATTTTATAATTATAGTATAAATAGTACATATATATCTTTCTTTTAGTTGCGCAAAGCAGTCTATAAAATGCCAACAGAAAGTGATGATTCTAGCAAAAGTGTTGCTTTGGCGTTACAGAGGGTTTTTCATGAATTACAGTTTTCTGATAAACCAGTCGGTACAAAAAAATTAACCAAAAGTTTTGGTTGGGAAACACTGGATTCTTTCATGCAACACGATGTACAAGAATTTTTACGAGTGGTAAGTAAATGTAATATTAATATTAGTTAAAAATTAATTAACATTAATTTGTATTGCTCTAACAATTTCTTGGAATTTAATAAAACTTATTTTTTATTATTATATCGAAATTAATGTTTGTTTATTGTTTATTAATAATAACTTTAGCTTTTAGATAAACTGGAAAGTAAAATGAAAGGAACATGTGTTGAAGGTACAGTGCCAAAATTATTTGAAGGAAAAATGGTATCATTTATCAAATGTAAAAACATTGATTACAAGTCAACTAGGGTTGAGACTTTCTATGACATACAATTAAATATAAAAGGCAAAAAAAATAGTAAGTCTTTAAAAATACATTTTTTAACAGTGTTACAGTAGTGTCCGGTGAAACATCAAAACTCCTTTTGGTTAAATATTCTTCACTGTCCTTACTAATTGTTTAAACTACATTAATAGAGTAGGTCTAAAAGGGCCAATGTCAAATATAAGTGTTTCACCCACCTTTGTCATATTTAATCACTTCGATTCTTAAAAATCCACTTATACAGATAAACGTCCAAATATATTCCCAAATTGCAGACGTTTACCGGACACTATTGTATTTTTGACTGAAATAAAAGTTACAAACGTATTATTATATATGAATTTCGTGTACTAAATAAAAACTAATTATAATTTAGTTTATGAGTCTTTTAATGACTATGTAAGTACTGAAAGTCTGGACGGTGATAATAAATATGATGCGGGAGAACATGGATTACAAGAAGCAGAGAAAGGTGTTATCTTTTCATCGTTTCCACCAGTTCTACATTTACATTTAATGCGATTTCAATATGATCCAGTTACAGATTGTTCTGTCAAATTTAATGATAGGTAAGTGATATTATAACAAAGTGATATTAATACGTTCACAATTCAAAGTCTAAATTACTTTAGGTTTATTAATTTATGTACCTTAAAATTACTAAAAACTTGAACGAATTTTACATATTTATAGATGAAATATTCCTATTAGTTGAGAAACTATCTAGAGACGTAGGTAGGATATTCTCAGCTTTTGTATCATAAGATTATATACAAAGAACGAATCACTTGTACTGCGAAAAAAGTATAAGTTTGCTTGGTGTAATTATATTAGTAATATTATCTTTTATTTTATTTCAATAATTTGTACATTTACTGTGAATTCTGATTGAGTAAAAAATTTAATATAAAATGTTATTGTATAATTTGTTAATTACATCTTTTCCATCTCTTTTCAAAACTTCTAATTTTAGCTTTTAGCTCAATTATATAAATTTAATAATTTAGTATTTATTAATGTGCTAAGTATCGTGTACTTTACTTATGACTCTTACAGTAAAATATAGCGGTACTATAATATAATTTGTAGACTAGTGGTAGTCTACTTTTAAGTCTACTTTTAAGTCTACTTTTAAGTAGACTACCATTAGAAAATCCTAGATGTATATTTTTTCTATTTTACTTGAGTAAGAAACTGTCTTCAAACAATTTTCAAGGCAAAAGACTATCAGTTCTGCAATTTGAAGGCATTGCTGTAAATACATTATATCTAATAGACTTTTATTGTAATTTACATTGTGTAACTAAAATTTCATTTTGACACCATAGCAAGTTATATAAAATCATTCCGATGTTGAATATATTGAATCACTATTTAAGTACTTGTTTTATACCAAATGGTATGGCTAATTTTTTATGCATTACGCAAATATGTAATATTTTAGTCTGTTTTCTATGCAATTATTGTTCACATCATTTACGATCCAATTCATCTTTGTATACAATTTTTCAATATTTTTTTAAACTGGTAATAATTAAAGACATTAATAAAAATATAAGGGTAAAATAGTGTTTTTCAATTATGTCACTGTTTTCTATCTTGCAATCTACATTGTAATGTTAATGAATTTCAATTTTTCAATATGTGTATTTTAATCATCATTTAACGTATATATATGATAAATTAATATTTAGAAGTTTTTATATATTACAAATATCGATTATAATACCTATTCACATTGCTACCATATACGCGAATAAATTATAATTTGATATAAACTAATAAATTACTCTTTCCTGCATTGCATTAGTATAGCTTTTGAGATATTAAAACAACATATTGTTACCATCATTTATATTGATTAGTTTAAACATTCATATATTTCATTGTATTAATTTTATCATTCATCATGTGTGAGTTGTAGAGTTGTGAACGTGTTAATTCATTTTACTAATTATCTGTTATACAACTCTTCATTTTTAAAAGAATGAATTATATTTTTCATAAAGGTTTGAATTTTATGAAAAAATAAGTCTTGGCAAATATTTACAAAACAAAGAAGCAACTAGTGCCGATTATACATTACATGCAGTCTTAGTTCACAGTGGAGATAATCATGGTGGACATTATGTTGTATTTATCAATCCAGCCGGCGATGGAAAAGTATGTACAATTTTTATGCTAGTATATCAAACATATATAATTGGTATTCTTATTTGTATGATACAATTTACATTATACATAATATTTCATAAGTTAAACATTTTATAAAAACTATTTTCACGTTTTAATTTTACGAACATAATTATTAATCAAGTAATTTAATCTTATTATTGTATAATATTGAATGACAAATCTATTTAATGCTTTTAATTATATGTATTTAATTCCGAAACAGTGGTGCAAATTCGATGATGATGTCGTGTCAAGATGTACAAAACAGGAAGCCATTGAACATAATTACGGTGGTCAAGATGAGGATATGTCTATAGCTGTCAAACATTGTACAAACGCCTACATGTTGGTGTATATAAGGGACTCTGAGTTGGAAAATGTTTTGCAAGAAGTCAAGGAAGAGGATATACCTCAAGAGGTCAGAAACGTCCTACAAAGAGAGCTTTCCCAGGAGTTGAGCGACCTTGAACGTGACAAAGACGCGACTGACTCGATTAAAGACTCACATACAGAGACTACGACCCTTCGTCCATGCACACAAAATCCTCGAAATCCAAATCTCTATATACATGATTTTTAAGGAACTGGAAAAAGTTGTAAATTATTTAAATTCTTTTCCCACTAAAGTTCCCATTTTTTAAATATGTTCGGAGCTAATTAGCTCCCGTGAAATCACCAAATTCATAACACGTTGCAAAGATGAAATGAGTTGAATAAAATAGGAACGTATTAAATAGATTTAATATTTTGGATATATGAATTAATCAGAAAATAAGATTTATAAATTAAATTTAATAAATTAATATTTTTTTTAGGATGTACACACACACACACATACACACACGTGTGCGTGTATGTACATACACGCACATGTCTGTGTGCAAAGATTTGTTATAAAGTTTTTCTGCATATTTTTTAATAATCAAAAAATTTATAGCGTTATCAGCTAACTGCTGTTATATCACCAAATGTTAATATTGCAATCATTGTGTCCATTTTTCAATACGTCACGTATCTAATATGTCACACTATAATTTTAAAGTGTTACGCGCATATTATTTTACTGACATTTATTATTTTTGAAAGAAACATCCGATTATGTCAACTTCTTATTATCAACAATGATAATGTTCATATACTAACATGTTTTATTCTGATATAATGAATATTTAATCTAAAATTTATCGTAGTTATCTAAAATATATCATAGATTTTTAATAGTTTCTGTCATAGAAGTTTTTTTCTATTCTACTAAAAATATATTTGTTTTTGACAGAGGATTTTTTTGTATGGACGATTGAGTCGTATAAGAATAAAATTTTTGCTAGTAAAATCTTTTTTGGGGGGATTTAAAAAAATCACATCGATCACATATTGGTTGACTGAAAGTTCTGTAGTTATAACTAATGTACGCGTTACACTTCAGGTACATACTATGAGAGAAAGTTACAATTGGGTTGGCATAAAATTTGATTATTATGCTATTATGATGAGCCTTAGAATCTTTTGGAATGTTTATTGTAATAAATATTGTATAATATTATACCTTAAACAAATAATTGTATTGTAGTATTTTAAAGCTTTTGGTAAGAAATGCACAGACATATCGCAGAATAGAGGAAAATGTGTGAATAATTATAAGAAGAATAGGAACAGGAAGGTCTTTTTAGTTAATAGTAAGATTATTATTGAAAATCTGATTTGAAACATGAGCTTTATCTCATGAAGTTGATAATGTTAAAGAAAAAAGAAAGGAAATATGAACAACAAGTAGGCTTTATTAATGTCAGCTTCTTCCTTCACACGTCTTCTACGATGTATTTGTTACTTAATGATCGTTTAGTGAGTGAGATGAAATGTGATTTACTCTATCAAATCAGTGATTTTAATGAATCGATACTAAAGTAACGTTAATAATAAAATTAGGATATTAAACCTTGTAATAAGGTCTGAAATAATTGAGTCGTTAATACATTATATTTTGTCAATGTTAATAATCAGTATGACCATCAACAGATGCTACCTATTTATTTGTTGTTATATACTAATAAACAGAAAAAGTCAATGCTACATGAACAAAATCAATACTAGTATTATAAAATACCTATATATACTTAAAATTAATATTTAAATAAGAAAAAATTGTTGAATGCTAGAGAATTTAAAAAATGAGAATTGACATTAAAAAAAATTGGTTATATTTTTGATTTATAGTTATTAAGAATATAGTTACAGTTTTATTTAAAATAATCGTATAACAGCAATTCAGACTGTAAAGCATCTCCACACTACTATGGTTATACATTACATTTCTATTATTATTTGGCTTAAATGATGGTATTTTATATATTTAAAAGAAATATTTGCGGTACGCAAGTATGATAATTCTGAATTTAAAATAGTTATTAGAATGATATAATGATTTTAATATATAATATACATTTTATATATTCATATGCATAGATACCTATAACAGTGATTAAATTACAACTTTGATATATGGTAGAAACAACCATATTGAAAAGATTATAATGCAAAATTTGATAAAAGCAATGTATTACTACTAGCAGATTAAAATTTTATTTCTGTTTATAAATTGTTTAATATTTTCAGAATTTATATATTGTTTTATACTTATTTATATAAACCCAATGTTTATTATTACATGAAACCATCATTTATAGCTGAATAATTTTTATCGTGTAATTGTTTGACTTAGTAGTCTGTATTGCGGCAGATGAACAAAATTAAAATTATATAAAAGAGCAACCAAAATTCATTCTTTTGATGTTTCGAATTCTATTTTCTCGAATCTCAAGAGTATGATACTAGTACACTGCTTTTCTAAAAGTTTAAATTTTAGAAGACAGATGAGGAAAAATTATCAATGAGATGAACTTATATGGATAATTTTAATTTTGTTGGTCTAGCTGGTGGAGAGGCTGCAAGAGGAGAAGAGGCTGGAACAAATACGGAGAAAGGAAAGAACAGAAGCATACTTGTATATAACCGTCAACGTCCTTCTCGAGGATAATTTTGACGGTCACCAAGGAAATGACTTATATGATCCGGAGCATGCTTTGTATCGTGTATTTCGCGTACGTAAGCAGTGTGCCTTACACGAATTTCTCAAATTGCTGAGTGATAGCTTGGTAAGTGTATTATACAACTTTTTATGCTGTATTTTTCTAGTGATATTAGCCTAAAATGTCATGTTTATGTCGATACATATGTATACTTCAAATTGTTTAATATCAAATATTAGTGTGATTTTATATAGTATGTGCTGTTAATTGGGTTTGTTTCATTGTTGTGATTATCTACAGACACGGTAGGTGATTGCAAACACAATATTTAAATGAATCACTTATTTTATTTTAAATAATTGTAATATAGAGTTTATGTAACTAATTTTTTGGTATTTTTCTACAGAAATATCCAATAGAGCAAATTCGTTTATGGCCACTGAATGTACGTTCAAATCAGACCTGTAGACCAATGCCAATTGAATTAGAAACCGATCTTCCGAAATCTATTTATCAATGTGCAGAAAATCCAAATGTTTGGAATGTATTTGTTGAACTTGTTCCTCCAGATTCCGATCTAACAGCATTACCACCTTTTGATAAAGATACAGATGTATTGTTGTTTTTTAAGTTATATGATCCCAAAAATAAAAAAATTCACTACTGTGGACATCACTACATGCCTGTCACGGCTAAAGTCCGTAAGTTTCTTCTTAAATAACTTAATAATGCTAGCACTAAAATGATATTTTCAGTTTTATTTATTTTTTTTTATTGTATCTGGAACTATAATATCAGAGATTAAAAATTCAATGCATTTTATTTATATTCTTTTTTGTGATGGTAGATCACACTGTCTTACAATTATTTTACAAGGGAAACGTATGAACCGTGAAACATAGATTTTGTTGAAATTTTGCATAGTTGTAAAAGAAATAAAAAAAAATTATTACATAGAAGAATAATATGATGAACCTCATTACAGGAAGACAAAAATTCCTATTTAATGTTTTTGCAACATGAATTTGACCATTGGAATTATACAAAATTAGTAATCCATTATAACCAATTGGAGAAGTATTAGTACTTGTGAATATAAATAACAATTTTAAAACTTGTAGTCATTTTATATGCCACTACTTTTATAGCCACTTGTGTGCTACTTTATTATTTCATCTTTGATTTTGATTACAGAGGTTAAAAAATTAGTACTTTAAAAGTTTAAAAGAAAAAGAATAAGTTATTTGATTAAATTTTTGATAAATTGAACTGATTTCATTTATTTTTATCAACTGCTTTTTAAATTCAATTTTATTCTTCTTGGGAGTTAAAAATATTCGATTTCTTTATCAAGTTTATAAAAAGTAAAATCAAGAAATGCATACATTAGCTCCAAATTTCAAATTCACAACTTTGGATTTATAAAAGTACCGCTTTTCCTCCAGGCTATAGTGGATTTCTAGCTTTGCATCACTCGAATGGGTGCATACACTATTACAAAAACTTAAAATGTGGACTTTTCTTATTATACAATTATTAGCAGGATATTTCTAGTTTTTTACTTCTTGCAATTCTTGTAACAGTGAAAATAATTTCTATGTATCATATTTGTGCAGAGGACCTTATACCGATTTTAAATGAGAGAGCTGGATTTCCACCAGATACTGAACTAGCCCTTTATGAAGAAATCAAGCCAAATTTGGTTGAAAAGATTGACAGCTTAACAGAACCATTAGAAAAAGTCCTTGAAGAATTGATGGATGGCGATATTATTGTTTTTCAGAAAGAAGGGGATAATCAAATATATGAGCTTCCAACGTGTAGAGAATATTTCAAGTAAATTATAAAAGTATTTACAAGAATTTATATATTACATAGAAGACTTTAAACGCACATTGCATTGTATTTCAGAGATTTATTCCATAGAGTAGACATAACATTTTGTGATAAAACAATTCCAAATGACCCTGGTTTCGCTATGGAACTTTCATTAAGAATGACATATGATCAGATGGCACGAGCTGTAGCACAAAGGCTTGGTACAGATCCATATCTTCTACAATTCTTTAAATGCCAGAGGTAGTAATATATAATTGTATCTAATGTTAGAAAATTATACAGGATGTTAAAAAACATATAGAAATTTAATGTATACAAATTCCTTATATTAGACGAAATCGGTTAAACTTTTTTGTAATTTATAATTTTCTTTAACTAATGATTAAATTTTATGAACACAATTTTAAAAATCCGTTACATAAATCATAAATGCAGTTAATATTTTTGAGTCATCTTATATAGATATTGTGTTTATTTAAATGAAATAAACCGTTCATATTATTTATAGTTATAAAGATTCGCCTGGCCATCCATTAAAGTGTACATTTGAAGGATCACTTAAAGATTTGGTTTCCTACTGTAAATCAAAAACAAAAAAATTGTATTATCAACAACTTAGTATTAGAGTGAATGAGCTTGAAAATAAAAAGCAGTTTAAATGCATATGGGTTGGCCCGTCTCTTAAAGAAGAAAAAGAAATTATTCTTTATCCTAATAAGGATGGAACAGTAGCTACATTGCTCGAAGAAGCTAAGAAACAAGTTGAGTTAGCAGAAAATGGTTCTGGAAAGTTAAGGCTAATAGAAATTAATTGTAATAAAGTTTCACATGGCCCAAGAGAGGAAGTATTCTTGGATAACTTAAATCCATCTGGTACTAAATTATACAGAATAGAAGAAATTCCAAATGACGAGTTAAATTTGGCAGCGGATGAAATGTTGGTTCCTGTTGCACATTTTCATAAAGATGTTTTTTCAACATTTGGTATTCCCTTTTTCTTTAAAATTAAACATGTAAGTATAATTAAACAATCAGTAAAATTTGTCCAAAAATATATTTACAATGTATATTATTAGTATTATTGTTATGTGTGCATTTAAAGGGTGAACCTTTCCCAAAGATGAAGGAAAGACTATTGAAGAAACTAGGTGTGCAAGAAAAAGAATTCGAAAAGGTAGGCATCCTAATTTAATTTTATTTGATATTTTATGAGAATTCATAAAAAAACTTTGAAGTTTAAGTTCGCGGTGGTGTCAATGGGAAAACCACATTTTATTATGGATTCACCAGATTATTGCATGGACCTTGAAGATTTTCGTTTTCATCCAAGTCAGTGTAAGTATATTGAAAAACATCAGCAAACGTTAGAAAATGTTGAAATTTATTTAATTAATTCATAATTTCATACTATAAATTTTGAATGGACGCTGATGAAGAATAAATTTTGTAGTTTATGCACTTTCAAACGCAGGCGCAACGCCACATATACCTTGGCTAGGCCTAGAACATGTCAACAAAGCGCCAAAGCGCTCTCGTATCAACTACCTCGAAAAGGCTATTAAAATTTACAATTAAATTTTCAACGTATGAAGAAAAATAAAATTAGGCAGCCATTCATATAATTTACACGACTCTATAGTAAAAAAACTATGTTTTACATGCGGTGATTGAAAATGCGTTTATTCGGTTGTCCAACCAAATAATGCGCAATTTCAACGTTATGGTCATGTTAATGAAAGGTAAATCTACGCTTTGTATACGATGGATTGAGAAATTGTACTGATCATGTAATGATATTTTATGCATCATGGAAGTTCTCCCTTTCGAATCGACAGGGATTTTATGTAATGGCCGGATCGATGATACAACATCGATACCATTATGCTTCAACAACAATGGATTACACACTTCTATCAGTGAAACCAATTTTTGTATTCATAAATATTTTGCCTCTCGTTGACAAGCAATTTGATTAATGCTATTGAGAATAAGGCATGTGACTCTTACAAGAGCAATAATTTATTTATCAAACACATTTTACTCTAAAACTGTATAATTGCAACTGCAAAATGAAGAAAGCTTTCGTGTGGAGAAACAAAAAGGTATTTATACATGTAATATAATACTACTTTCTAGAAAGATTCTTTTAAAATTTTACCTTTGATCCTGCCACGTAAAATCTTTGTAACTGATGTAATAAGACCCAAAGAAACACTATGTAATGTTTTGTGTAATGTAATACTTAAAGTGTCATTATTAGAACAAAATTATTCACATGCTCCTGTTTTGTATTATACTAAAGAAGTTTGAAATGCAGACTTACAGTTACCTTGTAATCTTATATTTTGCATATTAAGGTAATTTTTGGCGAAAAAATAAACGTTAATAATTTGTTTATGGTATCGTTTCTTGTAAAATGCATCTCTGTACATGAAAATGTAGTTATCATATCCTTGATTGAAGAGAAATGTAATCAGAGTATGATATTGTTATATAAAAAATTACTATAAAGCATCTATATAATTTATAAGTGAAATTTCACAGTTGCTTTTTAAACACCTCTGACTTCTTATATTTCAGTATCCTTTCTTTTCAAAATTTTCATTAAAACAAAAGAAACAAGACTCATATATGATAAACAATGAATTGATTGTGTTTTGAATATAAAATTATGTGATAAATATTTAGAAACAAAATATAGTTTATGCTATGTACGGTAAAAGGGAGAAACTATTTGGACATAAACGATTTCATTTTATATTATTATTTTAAGGTACATGCAAGTTAAGTTTTGTTTTCTAAACGAAATCATATATTTTTCCCTCGTTATTTGATAATGTATTTCGAATCGTATTCATTAATTTTTAATAGAAGGGTCAGTGACCTACAGTCGGCGGGTCAAATCCGCCTATCTTTTGTTTTTGTATAGTCCGTGAAAGTTAATCTTGTCAATAAATGATTTTTGAAAACATTCTGTATTTTATAAGTATCTGTTAGGTTTCGTAGATGTTATATTTCCAAAATAGACTTTTCAGGCATGATTTTTATGTTTAATGACATAAAAGTATCGCAAAATAGCACTTTTAACACATTAGTTTGAAGCTTAAAGTTTACTGAAATAAACCACATAAATGCTTCATTAAAAATCTCAACATAAAATGGCTAGTTACCAATTATAGAAAACAGTGGCAAATTATGAAGAATAGAGCATAACATAAATTGACATACAAGTACATATTTCAGCATGGGACAAATCTATATCAATTTAAAGCTTAAATGAAAACGTATTTGATAAAAAAGACTATGTAATATGTTTATTTGTATGCTTCATAAAAATTGACCACTTGCTAAAGTCTGACCGTGTATTAGGTCCTAATATACCTATTAAACAACTAGTTTCGAAACGTCGAGTTTGACAGGATATAAAAGTAGGTACCGTAAAATAACTTTTGTATTATGTCAATTTGCAGCATGAAGTTCAATAAAAATGATTGTATAGGCATTTTATTAATGTTTTGAATACAAAATGTTTGATTGCCAGTTGTAAAATACAACGGTCAGTTTCAGAATCTTTAAAGTTTAACACAATTTGATAACATAAAATGTCGTAAACCCACACGTACATGATATTTATTTGAAATATAATATTCATTGAAAAGAACTATTTAAACCTTTCGTTAACTGTTAGATGTCTAAAATGTGTAGTCAGGATCCCTTACGTTTGAATATTTAGTTGTAACTTTTTTTGCGAGCAGATTCATGATTTTACTTCTAGCTATTCGTTAATTATTATTTGAGGTTATAACTTGCATAAATTCTTCATGATTTTATTTTTAACGTTCGAAATTTCACTAAAATAAAATAAGGAAACTCTTAAAATCGTGATCGTTCCGTGTTCACAAAAATAATAAACAATAGTAATTAGTAAATTTATCCTTTTTCAGCAATTCTTTTCTTTCACGTTTTCAATTTCTCGAAATAATATTTATCTTATTCTTTCCTTTGTCACAAAATTTAATTTTTTTCGTTTTCAAAACTTGATCTATTTATTCCTTACTATTGACCCAAATTATATTAATATTAAAGAAAATGTAATAAAAATGTTCAACATAGGTCTCGATATTAATTGAAATACTTTGAATACATTTAGATGGGTAAATTTAAAGAGATAGTCATAAGGAATCATAATTGCTCCACTTCTTTATCCTGATTTGTGGTACTTTGTAATAGTAGGTTTGTTTTTTTTAATATAAAATTATTGAGTGATAGATACTACGTAATATATGACGCGATCAACGGGATAGTTTTCTGGCAATTAGCCAGTTCGTATAAAGGGGTAAAACCACTCTAGAATTTTCAAAAAATCGATTTTTTTTTGGCCTTAAACGAAAACAAATTTTAAAAGATTCAATTATCAATTTTGCCGCAGCTTCTCAGAGCGCGCACCGAGTATTTATGCACCGTGTTGTGATTCATCGCTTTTGTATTACTTTTACCATTTAAAATAATAAGTTGACCTGTTACCTACAAAATAAACGGAAGCAACGGAAACATCGACTTGGTTAGCCACATGTATAGTGCAGGCACTGCAGATTAGAGGTAAACAGAAAATTCAAGGATTAAAATGTTCATAAAACTTTAAACGCGTTTCTCTCGAAACCGCTTTCTTCATACTGGGAGGACTGATTTCTCAGTGACTATTGCATGGATTGAATTGAAATTTTTACAGTAACTTCACAACAATATTGTCTTTGGAAGTACGTAGCCGTTTTTTGATTGAGTGCAAACTTTTTTTTTTATAAACAATTCAATGCTCATTTTTCATACAAAAAATCGATTCATTTCTTAAAAAAAAAAAAAACGCATAACTTCTACAAAAATTGATTAATCAAAAAAGCCTTACGTACTTCAAAAGTTAATTGTATACAGATTAAAAATTTGTTTGATTTTTCGTTCCACGACTCACACATGGCGAGAAATACGTTCTCCCATGGCGGTATTTTTACAAAAGCTGTTTCCATCGATGGGCTCAGTCGCCCCCATTTTGTACGAAAATGATAATAAAAAAATTCTTTTTTATACTTCAATATATGTTAAATAAACCCTCGGAAAAGAAATTCTTTTCTGTTTGTCGTACTTCCAAAATAAATTGTCAAATTTAGGTCTTTTTTCTGGCTTTAGAGTGGTTTTAACCCCCAGAGGGACTTACGAAAACTTTCTTACAAGGAATGACACGGAGGTGTCCCCTTCCGATTTTGATGAAACTTAGTACGTTTGTTAGGTGACCCCAACACCACCCCCTGAAATTATGCCCACCAGTAGCCCAACACCCTGCATGGTATAGTGGTTTCTTATCTGATGCATAGCAAAATTCTTCGGGATTTTCAAAATGAGATAGTCTTGACCATATATATCTACTTTTATACCAAGAATATCTAATGAAATTTTCAATTCATAGTGAAGAAAACTGATTATGAACAAATGATTATTGTTTTAGAATGCTGTCTCGTGTGTGGAGATTAATGTCATAGTGTGATAAGAATACTATTATTGCCGCGATTATGTTGCCTAATTTATTCAATCTATTCATTATTTAATAAAATTGGCATATAGAATATTTATGTACTTTGACAATACGTGTTTTGTAATACAAATTTAATAAAATTAACAGTTATGTGTGACGCAAATATAATTATTTCTCATTTACGCTTATAAATAACGTTAACTGATAGTGCAATATCGTCCGACATGATTCAGTTCAATATCGTACGGCGCGACACCGGGTGCGCACGTGTAATGTTTATAATAAAAATCTGAGGAATTATAGAAGGCAATATCGTATACACATATACCAATGGATTTGTAATAAAATGCTCTACACTTTTTGTCATTATGCAAATTTGAATAAATTGTAAAATAAGGTTATGAAAAATTTTCAAGGTAATGAAAAATCCTGTAATTATACGCAATAAACCATACAACTTTTCTATTAGAAGTTTTAATGTATGTATTTCGTTTGGTTTTCGAGGTAGCCAAAGCGGGTCGAAACTTTAAGGAGTCGTTTCACCCCTTGAACCCGCGTCTCAGTCGATAAAAAAATATGTGTCCTTTATTTTTACCTACTTAACAAACGTACGAAGTTTTATCAAAGTCGAAATATTTCCTTACTTCTCCTTGTTAGTAATTTTCAACAGACTACAACCGTCAAATTGATATAAGGTAGGTGCAAGCAATTCTGCCGGTATCTTCAGTATTTCTAAAGAGAGGAAACTTCAACTTACATCGTTTTATACAGACATTGTAACGTATTAGTAAGTAATAAGCATTTTTATAAGACATAAAGAGGTCAATTATCATTGATCTCTTTTACAGGATCAGTTATTTATTATTTTAAATGAACACTATTGCCTTACTTATTTGTCTTGGATTCACTGTGTAATAAATATTAAAATTTCTTTTCCGCATATCAATTTTTCTGATAACTAGTTTTCTAATTGTTGTTTTACTACTATATATTAATCAATTATTGATTCAACACATACTTAAGCAGATCTTATCATATTTGGTAATTTATTAACATTAAATTGTTCATATTTTGTTGGATATAATTTTTTGTAAAGTATGATATAGTTATATATTGCAATGGATATTGTGTGTAAATTCGTTGCTTTGTAACCTTTTGTTATTTTTGTTCCAGAAGAACACAAAATCTAATTTATGTTAAGCATTAGCTAAAAGTTTAAACTATATGATATATTGGAAACTGTCACTAAATAGCTTTTTTAAAAAAATTCAACCCTGGTAACACTAGTAGGATGTGCGGCTATCTTATAATGGTATTAATTTATAGTACTTTTATGTGATTAAATTGTATCAAACATTGATGTTTTGAAATCGGACATTTCATATTACAAGAGCAGGGGATATTATAGAAATTTTTCATATCTTGATTTACGATGGACCGTATTTTTCAAAATCCCAAAAATGATACACAGTTACACTTTTGTAGTTCTAAATTTTCAACATTATAAAGTGCTAAATTTGGAAATTTCAGTCCCAAAGTTTCACAATTAAAAAATTGTATAGTTCCACAATTCTAAAATTTCAAAGTTCCAAATTACTGAAGCATCAATATTTCAAAACCCAAAATTTCATTTTAAAAAATAGAATTTTATTTGAATTTTTTTGTTTTTGTTACGTTCCGAATAGGAATATTTTTCAAAATTTCCTTTGAGACTTCTCACCGACCGAACATGTATCGATAATGCATATTGCATTCTGGGAACACCCTGATCGAACGCCAGTAACAGTCTTTAATGTTATTAGATAGACTATTTTCTGGCGACTAAACTAAGATTGTTAATATCGCACATTCCTTCCTTACAATCAACGTGGTCCCATGGCCAAATTCTTAGATCGTTTTACTTCTGCGAACCGCCAAACATAAATGAAATTCGCACTCGTGTGGTCCGATATGTAACACCGAGCGTTCTGGAATGTTCCTCAAGGATTCGCGACGCAATATAG